TTAATTAATTATAAACCTTTCTTGGTTTACAATGCATTTCCAAGCATTTGAAACTTATTTCTAGTTTTATTTCTCTTTTAACAACGTTTGTCTCGTTCTGTGCCGTTTCAAAGTCAGGGTTTTTTTACCTTAAAATTTGTATATAAATGCAGATTACGTGAGGTTTTTGTCAGATTTTGAGAATTTTTCACCTAAACACGTGCGCTTCTCTGCTGAGCTGGGTCAGTGTGGGTTTGTGTGTGCACACACACCTGAGCTGGGGGGCTGGGGTCACCCCAAAACCCCACAAACTTTAGGAGAAGGGTTTGCAAACCTCTTTAACTCAGGTGGGAGCTTTTCCCAAGGGTAATCCCCAAATTCCCCTGCCAGGCTCAATCCCAGGTGAGATTCTCCCTTCTCTCCCCCCTGTTTCCTCCTCATCTCTTTTTTCCCCTTTTCCCCCTCATTTCCACCCCAAAACCCCACAAACTTTAGGAGAAGGGTTTGCAAACCTCTTTAACCCTGGCAAGTGAGGAAATTTGGGAACTTTCCCTGAGGTTAATCCCCAAACTCCCCTGCCAGGCTCAATCCCAGGTGAGATCCCCCTTCTCCACCCTCTGCCCCGTTTCCTCCTCATCTCTTTCCCCTTTTCCCCTCATTTCCACCCCAAAACCCCACAAAATTTAGGAGAAGGGTTTGCAAACCTCTTTAACCCTGGCAGGTGAGGGAAATTGGGAGATTTTCCCGGGTTAATCCCCAAATTCCCCTTCATGTTTCCAGCCCAGGGGACAGGTGAGAGCCCCTTTCTCTGCCCTGTTTCCTCTTCATCTCTTTTTCCCCCTTTCCCCCCCATATTTCCCCCACCCTCCCGGGCAGCCCCCTCCCCTGTGCGTGTCCCTCTGTCCCCCCCTGTCCATTCTTCCTGCCTGACACGCTCACAAAGCCCCTGGACGAGCTTTCAAAGGGGGAGCTCATGCGGAAGAATCGCTGCCCCCCGAGCCCCTCCCGGCTCCAAAGCCGACCCAGCGCCGTTCCCAGCGGGGTGAGGGGCTCCCCCTCCCCCAGACCCCCTTGTTTGGGGCGATTCCCCGCCGTTCTAAGGGGGAAGGAGCCCCTTGTTCCCAGCGCCACCCACCCAGTGTGGTGGCTTCTCCTGGGAGGTGTCCGTGTCACACGTGGGGGTTTGGGGACCAGGGGGGTGGGAGTAGATGGGTTCAGGGTGGTGGAAATGGGGTTGGGGGGCAAGAAAAGCATCAGGAGTGGGAATGGAGTGGGGGCACAGGATGGTTGAGGTGGATTTGGGGACAGGATGGTGACCAGGGGGTTGGGGACAGAAGGGTGACCCTGGACTGGCTCATGTCCGTGTGACCCTCGGGGTTTTGGGGACCAGGGGGGTGGGAAGGGACGGGCTCAGGATGGTGGAAATGGATGGAAGTGGAGTGGGGGGACAGGACTAGGACTGTGGGTGGGGGGACAGGATGGTGGCCACGGGACTGGGGACAGAATGGTGGCCCCAGGTCACCCAGGTGGCTTCTCCTGCAAGGTGTCTGTGTCACCCTTGGGGTTTTGGGGACCTGGGGAGTGGGAATGGATGGGCTCAGGATGGAAATGGAGTTGGAGAGCAGGACAAGGATCAGGGGGGTGGGAATGGAGTGGGGGGACAGGATGGTTGAGGTGAATTTGGGGACAGGATGGTGACCAGGGCGTTGGGGACAGAATGGTGGTCCTGGGTGAGGACGGGACTGGCTCCTGTCCGTGTCACCCTCGGGGTTTTGGGGACCGGGGGGTGGGAATGGATGGAGATGGAGTTGGGGGGCAAGAAAAGCACCAGGAGTGGGAATGGAGTGGGGGGACAGGATGGTTGAGGTGGATTTGGGGACAAGATGGTGACTAGGGGGACCATTTGGGGACAAGATGGGGACAGAATGGTGGCCCTGAGTGAGGGCAGGACTCCTCCAGTGGTGGCTCCTGTCCGTGTCACCCTCATGATTTTGGGGACCAGGGGAGTGGGAACGGATGGGCTCAGGATGGTGGAAATGGATGGAAATTGAGTTGGGGGGCAGGAAAAGCACCAGGAGTGGGAATGGAGTAGGGGGACAGGATGGTTGAGGTGGATTTGGGGACAGAATGGTGGCCCCAGGTGGTGGCTCCTCCTGCAAGGTGTCCGTGTCACCCTCGGGGATTTGGGGACCAGGGGGGCGGGAGTAGATGGGTCCAGGATGGTGGAAATGGAGCTGGGGGGCAGGACAAGGACCGGGAGTAGGGGGACAGGATGGTTGAGGTGAATTTGGGGACACAAGGGTGGCCCTGGACTGGCTCATGTCCGTGTCACCCTCAGGGTTTTGGGGACCGGGGGGGTGGGAAGGGACGGGCTCAGGATGGTGGAGATGGATGGAAATGGGGTTGGGGGACAGGACTAGGACTGTGGGTGGGGGGACAGGATGGTGGCCACGGGGTCGGGGACAGAATGGTGGCCCCAGGTGGTGGCTTCTCCTGCGAGGTGTCCCTGTCACCCTCGGGGTTTTGGGGACCAGGGGTGTGGAAATGGATGGGCTCAGGATGGTGGAAATGGAGTTGGGGGGCAGGACAAGGACCAGGAGTGGGGGGACAGGATGGTTGGTGTGGGTTTGGGGACAGGATGGTTGAGGTGGATTTGGGGACAGGATGGTTGAGGTGGATTTGGGGACAGGATGGTTGGTGTGGGTTTGGGGACAGGATGGTTGAGGTGGGTTTGGGGACAGGATGGTTGAGGTGGATTTGGGGACAGGATGGTTGAGGTGGGTTTGGGGACAGGATCGTTGGTGTGGATTTGGGGACAGGAGGGTTGAGGTGGATTTGGGGACAGGATGGTTGAGGTGGGTTTGGGGACAGGATGGTTGAGGTGGGTTTGGGGACAGGATCGTTGGTGTGGATTTGGGGACAGGATGGTTGAGGTGGATTTGGGGACAGGATGGTTGAGGTGGGTTTGGGGACAGGATGGTGGCCCCAGGTGGGGGCGGGACCCCACAGGCAGCGATCGGGGCTGGGCTGGGCTCCCCCCCGTGGCTGCGTGGGTGGGACAGGGCAGGGTGGGGACCCGCGGGCAGGGCAGGGCAGGGCAGGGCAGGGCTGGGTGGGACCTGCAAATGCTGGGGAATCCCTGGGAAGGGAGGAGGGAGGGAGCCAGATCTGGTCCCTGGCCTGGGAATGGTTCTGGCTGTGCCTTTTCCAATTCATGGAATCCCAGAATTCCAGAATTTGGGCTGGAAGGAACCTTAAAGTCCCGTTCTGACCCCTCACCATAGGCAGGGACATCTTCCACTATCCCAGGTTGCTCCAAGCCCTTGGACACTTCCAGGATTCCAGGGGCACCCTGTGCCAGGCCATCCCCACCCTCACAGGGAGGAATTTCTTCCAAATATCCCCAAATCTCGCCGATTTTTGTTTAAATCCAGGTCCCAGAAGGAACCTTAATGTCACTTGCCAACTCCTCAACACAGGCAGGGACACCCTCCACCAGGTTCCTCCGACCTGGCCTTGGACACTTCCAGGATTCCAGGGGCACCCTGTGCCAGGGCATCCCCACCCTCATGGGGAGGAATTTATCCTCCAAATATCCCCAAATCTCGCAGATTTTTGTTTAAATCCAAGTTCCAAAGGAACTTTAAAGTTGCATTGTGACATCTCACCATAAGCAAGGACACCTTCCACTACCCCAGGTTGCTCCATGCCCCTTCCAAGCCCCTTCCAACCTGGCCTTGGACACTTCCAGGATTCCAGGGGCACCCTGTGCCGCCCTCACAGAGAGGAATTTCTTCCAAATATCCCCAAATCTCGCCGATTTCAGTTCAAATCCAGGTTCCAAAGGAACCTTAAAGATCTCGTTTTGACGCCTTTCACTACCCCAGGTTGCTCCAAGCCCTGGCCTTGGGCACTTCCAGGTCTCCAGGGACAGCCACAGCTTCTGAGGGCACCCTGTTCCAGGGCGTCCCCACCCTCACAGGGAGGAATTTCTTCCAAATATCCTCAAATCTCGCCAATTTTTGTTTAAATTCAGTTCCAGAAGGAACCTTAAAGTGACATTCTGACCCCTCACCATAGGCAGGGACACCTTGCACTGCCCCAGGTTGCTCCAAGCCCTGTCCAGCCTGGCCTTAGGCACTTCCAGGACTCCAGGGACAGCCACATCTTCTGGGGGCATCCTGTTCCAGGGCATCACCACCCTCACAGAGAGGAATTTCTTCCCAAAATCCCCAAATCTCCCCAATTTCAGTTTAAATTCAGGTTCCAGAGGAACCCTAATGTCACTTTCCAACTCCTCAACACAGGCAGGGACACCCTCCACTATCCCACTATCCCACTATCCCAGGTTCCTCCAACACTTCCAGGATTTTAGGGGAACCCTGTAGTAGGGAACCCTTACCTTCACAGGGAGGAATTTTCTCCCAAAATCCCCAAATCTCGCCGATTCCAGTTTAAATCCAGGTTCCAAAGGAGCCTTAAAGGTCTCGTTTTGACACCTTTCACTACCCCAGGTTGCTCCAAGCCCTGGCCTTGGGCACTTCCAGGACTCCAGGGACAGCCACAGCTTCTGAGGCCACCCTGTTCCAGGGCATCCCCACCCTCCCAGGCAGGAATTTCCTCCCAAAATCCCCAAATCTCCCCAATTTCAGTTCAAATCCAGTTCCAAAGGAGCCTTAAAGTCACATTCCCACCCCTCACCATAAGCAGGGACACCTTGCACTATCCCAGGTTGCTCCAAGCCCTGTCCAGCCTGGCCTTGGACACTTCCAGCATTCCAGGGGCACCCTGTGCCAGGGCATGCCCAACCTCACAGAGAGGAATTTCTTCCTAAAATCCCCAAATTTCGCCGATTTTTGTTTAAATCCATTCCCGGCCATGGGGGTCCCGCGTACTCTGGCGCCCCCTGGCGGCCGAACCCAACCTCTCCCTCTCCCCCCCCCTCCAGGTCCCGGTGTCGCCCCCCGGGCCTCGCCACCCCCCCGATGTCCCCCTGAGCCACCCCCGGGCCCTATCGCGACATGTTCGACCCCTCGGGACCCCCGGCCGCCGGCTACAGCGAGCACTGCTGCCTGCACGCCCCGCACGGAGCAGCCCCCGCACCCCCGGGACCACCAGGTGGGTCATGGGGGGGCTTCAGGATCCTCATGGACCCCCCCCCCCCGAGGTCAGGGGGACTCCGGGGGTCTCTGTCCCACACCCAGGTCACCTGTCCTCCTTCCTCCAGGGCTGGATTTCCCCGTGTGCCACCAGCCCGGGCACCGCGGGTATGGGCTGGCACCGGGAGCTGAACACGCCGGGGATGGTGAGTCTGGGGGTTTGGGGGGCTGTGGGCCAGGGGGGGTTCCCTAGAGGGGTTAAACATCTCTGTGTTCCAAATCCAAAGTGACCTGGCACTCTTGCAGCCTCCTAACACCGGGTGTATGTACTTGGGGTGCCTCCAGCCCCCCTGGATCACACTGAGGGCTGTTCCCCATGCTCTGCCCCTGGTTTTGGGGGGCTGGAGGGGTTAAACACCTCTCTTTTCCAAATCTAAAGCACATTCTGGGCACTCCTGCACCCTCCAAACACCAGGTTTGTGTCTTTGGGGTGTCTCCGGCCCCCAGGATCACACTGAGGGCTGTTCCCCCGGTTTTGGGGCACCATGGGGCAGGGAGGATTCCCTAGAGGCGTTAAACATCTCTCAGTTCCAAATTTAAGACACACCCTGAGCACTCCTGCAGCCTCCAAACACCAGGTTTGTGTGCCTGAGGTGCCTCCAGCCCCCCAGGATCACACTGAGGGCATTTCCCCCTGCTCTGCCCCCGGTTTTGGGGCACCATGGGGCAGGGGGGATTCCATAGAGGGGGTTAAAAATCTCTCAGATCTGTGTGAACTGGCACACTCAGGGCAGCCTCCAAACACCGAGTTTGTGTCTTTGGGATGTCTCCAGCCCCCTAGGATCATACTGAGTGCTTTGCCCCCTGCTCTGACCCTGGTTTTGGGGGGCTGGAGGGGTTAAACATCTCTCAGCTCCAAATCTAAAGCACATTCAGGGCACTCTTGCACCCTCCAAACACCAGGTTTGTGTCTTTGGGGTGTCTCCAGCCCCCAGGATCACACTGAGGGCAGTTCCCGCTGCTCTGTCCCCGGTTTTGGGGGGCAGGGAGGATTCCCTAGAGCAGTTAAACATCTCTCTTTTCCAAATCTAAAGCACACTCGGAGCACTCCTGCACCCTCCAAACACCGAGTTTGTGTCCTTGGGGTGCCTCCAGCCCCCCAGATCACACTGAGGGCATTTCCCCCCTGCTCTGCCCCCTCAGGCTCCCGGTTCTCCACGCCCCGAGGCGCAGGGAAGCTGGGCAAGAAGCGAGCCCTGTCCATCTCCCCCCTGTCCGACTCCAGCATCGACCTGCAGACCGTGATCCGCACCTCGCCCAACTCCCTGGTGGCTTTCATCAACTCCCGCTGCGCCTCCTCCGGCGGCTCCTACGGTCACCTGTCCATCAGCACCATCAGGTGGGCACTGCCCTGGCACCCCTGGCACCCCCTGGGGTGGGAATCCACAAAATTAAAGGGTTTGGGGAAAGCTGAAAGATGCAGGCATCAGATACAGCAGAACTGTGAGTAGAGCTAAAGCAGCAGCCGTGAGATTGGTCAGCAGGAAAAGTATTTAAACTGTAGGAAAGCAAAGGTAAATAGAAGAATAGGGGAGGCATCCTCTGTTATTCTGTTTATATATGTTATATGTATAGATAGAATATATATACAATATTTATATATAATATACAATATATGTTATATTTTTATAAATATATTTATATATTATAAATATATTATATAAATATATATTATATATATTATATATAGATATATAATTCTATATATTTATGTATAGATATTTTAGATATTATATATATATAAAAATATATATTATATATTATATATTATATATATTATATGTATTTTATTTAGATAGATATAGATGTAGATTAGATAGATAGACATGTAGATAAATATATAATTCTGTATATATTTATGTATAGATATACTGGATTTTTATTATATATATATAAAATATATATATAAAAATATACATTACATATATAATATATAAAATATATATTATATATATTCTATATTTTATATATACAATATATAGATAAATATATAATTATATCTATATGTATAGATATTCTAGATATTATATATATTACATATACAATATGTATAATATATATTATATATATTATATTTATTATATATTATATTTATTATATTTATTATATAGATAAATATATAATTATATATATATTTATGTATAAATAGTCTGTCTATATATTATCCTCTACACATCCACCCTGTGTATTAACACTTGTCAGAATAACTCCCTAAGCTGCAGAAAGTTTATCTAGCAAGATATTAGGAAAGTTAAAGCTTTAATAATGGAGCTCTGTGCGTTGTGTTTTAAGGCTCACAAGCAGGTATTGTTTTGGAAATAAGCAGCATTGTTTTAACCAAAGGCACATTGCTCATGGTGATTGGATAGAACTGCTGTCAATGTGCTTTTGCTTTGTGTGATTGGTCAAAAAAACTTATAAAACAAGTTGTAACATTAAGTTCTTTGTCTGCTGCCTGGGATGTGAGCTGGTGGCATCTTCCCATTGTCATAACCATGGAATGAGACTGATGCTGGAAAATAAAACAGCTCGAGGCACTTTCAGCAGCAGCCCCGTCTCGTTTGTAGTTTGTAAATAACCCCCCTTGCCCATTCACACCTTGGGGAGCAGGGTGGGGAAGGGATGATTGGGATTCCAGATCTCCGTTCTTATCTCCTGATGGTGTCACCTGCTCTCCACAGCCCATCCCTGGGGTACCAGAGCCCACCTGGGCAGCAGAAGGGCCAAGGGCACCTGTACACGACACCCCCAGCCTGCAGCTCCCACGAGGTGCCCGCACGTGGGGGGCTGCTGCAGCACCCACCTGCTCGAGGGGCACTGAAACACTGCCAGGTATGGGGGAAAATGTGAGATAGACCCTAAAACACTGCCAGGTATGGGGGATCTGTGAGATAAACCCTAAAACACTGCCAGGTATGGGGGAAAATGTGAGATAAACTCTAAAACACTGCTAGGTATGGGGGATCTGTGAGAGAAACCCTAAAACACTGCCAGGTATGGGGGAAAATGTGAGATAAACCCTAAAACACTGCTAGGTATGGGGGGAAATGTGAGAGAAGCCCTAAAACACTGCCAGGTATGGGGGATCTGTGAGAGAAACCCTAAAACACTGCCAGGTATGGGGGATCTGTGCGAGAAACCCTAAAACACTGCCAGGTATGGGGGAAAATGTGAGAGAAACCCTAAAACACTGCCAGGTATGGGGGATTTGTGAGAGGAACCCTAAAACACTGCCAGGTATGGGGGATCTGTGAGAGAAGCCCTAAAACACTGCCAGGTATGGGGGATCTGTGGGAGAGGAACCCTAAAACACTGCCAGGTATGGGGGGAAATGTGAGAGAAGCCCTAAAACACTGCCAGGCATGGGGGATTTGTGAGAGGAACCCTAAAACACTGCCAGGTATGGGGGATCTGTGGGAGAGGAACCCTAAAACACTGCCAGGTATGGGGGAAAATGTGAGAGAAGCCCTAAAACACTGCCAGGTATGGGGGGAAATGTGAGAGAAGCCCTAAAACACTGCCAGGTGTGGGGGATCTGTGAAATGGGGCACCGAAACACTTCCAGGCGTGGGGGAAATGTGAGAGAGGGGATCCGTGTGAGTAGGGTTCCATTTAATTTGGGATCCTTGTGAGTGGGGTTCCATGTGATTGGGGTTCCATGTGAAAGGGGATTGAAAGGGAATCCCTGTGAGAGGGATCAGTGTGATTTGGGTTCCATGTAAATGGGGATCCCTGTGATTGGGGTTCCATGTAACTGGGGTTCCATGCAATTGAGGATCTCTGTGAGTGGGGTTCCATGGAATTGGGGTTCCATGGAATTGGGGATCTGTATGAGTGGGGTCCCATGTGAAAAGGGGATCCCTGTGAGTGGGGGGTCTCTGTGAGTGGGTTTCCATGTGAAAAGGGGATCCCTGTGAGTGGGGTTCCATGTGAAAGGATTTCCATGGAATTGGGGTTCCATGTAAGTGGGGATCTGTGAGTGGGGCTCCGTGTGAAAGGGGATCCCTTTAATTAGGGTTCCATGTAATTGGGGATCCCTGTAAGTGGGGGTCTCTGTGAGTGGGGTTCCGTGGAATTGAGGATCTGGGTGAGTGGGATTCCATGTGAAAGGGGATTGAAAGGGAATCCCTGAGTGGGGATCCCTGTGAGTTCCATGGGGTTCCATGTATGTGGGGATCCATGTAAGTGGGGTTCCATGCATGTGGGGATCCCTGTGATTTGGGTTCCATGTAATTGGGGATCCCTGTGAATGGGGTTCCATGTAAGTGGGGATCTTTGAGTGGGGCTCCATGTGAAAAGGTGATCCCTGTGAGTGAGGCTCCATGTAATTGGGGATCCCCATGACTAGGGTTCCATGTGATTGGGATTCCATGTGAAAAGAGGTCCCTGAGAGTAGGGTTCCGTGTAACTGGGGATCCGTGTGAGTGGGGTTCCATGTGAAAGGGGTCCCTGAGAGTGGGGTTCCATGTAATTGGGGATCCCCATGAGTAGGGTTCCATGTGAGTGGGATCCCTGTGATTTGGGTTCCATGTAATTTGGGATCCCTGTGAATGGGGTTCCATGTAAGTGGGGTTCCATGTATGTGGGGATCCCTGTGGTTTGGGTTCCATGTAAGTGAGCTGCATCCATGTGAGCTGTGCATCCCTGTCATTCCTGTTCCTGTGCCCATCTCCTGCTGACTCCCTCCCTCTTCCCTGCCCTGGCAGCAGCTGAAGCTGGAGTGGAGCCTGAGCAGCCCCCTGAGCACCAAATTCCCAGAGGAGCGATCTGAGGGTGACATCTCCAGCCCAGCATCCACGGGCACCCAGGTACACCCCTGCCCATCAGATCCCCCCAAACTCCCGTGGGGTCACACCTGGGAGCGCTCACCTGCCCCTGCCCCCCAGGACCCCTTGCTGGGCATGCTGGATGTCCGGGAGGAGCTGGAGAAGGAGGATGGCAAAGCCGAGTGTGAGGCTGTGTATGAGACCAACTGCTACTGGGACGGCTGTGCCAAGGAGTTCGACACGCAGGAGCAGCTGGTGCACGTGAGTCAGGGGCTGCCAAGGTGTTGCCACCCCAAAATCTGCCCTCAGGCTGCTGGGCAGCATCCCCTGGATCAGCCTGTGATTCCTGCTCCCAGGTCCCAGCCATCCTTGGGGACTCGCCATGGTGCTGGAGTTCCCTCCTGGTTCTCCTCAGTTCTCCTCAGCCACTGGTGCTTCCAGATCCCTCCTTTGCTGCAGCTTTCCTTCCTCCAACTCTCCCATATCCCCTGACCATCCTTTGGACCACCTGGACCCCTCTTGGTCCTCCCAGAGTATCCCTCAAACATCCCCTGCATTCTCTGCCTCCTCCAAACACCACCTGGGCTGTTCTCCCCCAAACTCTGGTGTCTGCACCTGCCATCCCAGTCCCTCAGTGTCCCTTTCTCCCACACCAGTCTGTCCATGTCCCTTTCTCCCATCCCATTCCTCTCTCAATCCCTCCAACCCCTTTTTCCCACCCCAGTCTTTGCTGTATCTCTTTCTCCCATCCCAATCCCTCCATCCCCTTTCTCCCATCCCAGTTTCTCCTGTATCCCTTTTCCCCATCCCAGTCTGTCCATCCCCTTTCTCCCACCTCAGTCTCTCCTCTGTCCCTTTCTCCCTCCCCAGTCTTTCCTGTATCTCTTTCTCCTCTCCCAATCCTCCATATCCCTTTTTCCCATCCCAATCTCTCCTGTATCCCTTTCTCCCATCCCAGTTTATCCTGTATTCCTTTCTCCTACCCCACTCTTCTCCCAATCCCTTCATCCCCTTTCTCCCATCCCAGTCTGTCCATATCCCTTTTTCCCATCCCAATCTCTGCTGTATCCCTTTCTCCTATCCCTATCCCAGTTTCTCCTGTGTCCCTTTCTGCCACCCCATTCCTCTCCCAATCCCTCTATCCCCTTCTCCCATCTCAGTCTGTCCATGCCCCTTTTTCCCACCCCATTCCTCTCTCAATCCCTCCAACCCCTTTCTCCCATCCCAGTCTTTCCTGTATCTCTTTCTCCTCTCCCAATCCCTCCATCTCCCTTTTCCCATCCCAATCTCTCCTGTATCCTTTTCTCCCATCCCAGTTTATCCTGTATTCCTTTCTCCTATCCCACTCTTCTCCCAATCCCTCCATCCCCTTTCTCCCATCCCAGTCTGTCCATCCCCTTTCTCCCACTCCATTCCTCTTCCAATCCCCCATCCCCTTTCCCTCCTTCATCCCCCATCCCTTGTCCCTCTCCCCAGTGCCCCCAGTGACGCTGCCCTCCCTCCCCAGCACATCAACAACGAGCACATCCACGGCGAGAAGAAGGAGTTCGTGTGCCACTGGGCGGCGTGCTCGCGGGAGCAGAGGCCCTTCAAGGCTCAGTACATGCTGGTGGTGCACATGAGGCGCCACACGGGAGAGAAACCTCACAAGTGCACGGTGAGAGGCCGAAAAACTGCCCCCAAAATCCTGGCTGGGCTGGGAAAATGAGGGGTGTCTCGGTTTGGAAAGAGAGGTGTGTGCTAAAGAAGGCAGGAGCGTCCCCTGAAATGGAAAATGGAAACCCTCTCCCTCCAAGTTATTATAAATTTTAAATTAAGGGGCTTTCAGGCAAAAAATATGGGAGCAAGAATAACAGTTTGTCTTGGTTTGAAAGTCAGGTGTCTGGTAAAGAGAGCAGGAGTCTCCCCTGAAATGGAAAATATAAATCCCCTCCCTCCAAATTATTATAAATTTTAAATTAAGGGGCTTTCAGGCAAAAAATATGGGAGCTGGAGCCTGGGTGGCAGAAGAGGCTGGCAGAAGGTGGGTACAGGTGTGGTGCTCATGGAATCCTGGAATGTTTTGGGTTAGAGGCACCTTAAAGTTCATCCCATCCCACCTTCCACTACCCCAGGCTCCTCCAAGCCCTGTCCAACCTGTCCTTGGACACTTCCAGGGATGGGGCAGCCTCAGCTTCTCTATGCCAGGGCCTGCCCACCCTCACAGGGAGAAATTTCTTCCCAAAATCCCATTTGAACCCAAAGTCACATGGCCCTAGAATTATCCCATGCTTTGGAGTATGTTCCTGAATTGAATCAGGATGGGGAGCTGGGTGCTGCCATCAGTCCCAGTTTGGGGACCCTCTGAGGGGCTGCCATGGGACAGAAGGAGGTGGCACAACCCCACGGTGAAGGTGTGAGGATGGCAGGTGTGTTGGGAGGTGAGATGTGTCACATGTGGGACGTGTCACCACGTGCTCCCAGTCCTGGTGACGGCGTGTGACACGTCCCGCCCTGCTCTGCCGCAGTTTGAGGGCTGCAACAAGGCCTATTCCCGCCTGGAGAACCTCAAGACCCACCTGCGCTCGCACACGGGGGAGAAACCCTACGTGTGTGAGCACGAGGGGTGCAACAAAGCCTTCTCCAACGCCTCCGACCGCGCCAAGCACCAGAACCGCACCCACTCCAACGAGGTACGGCCCCACCCGGGCTCCATGTGTGCTCCTGGGTCATTGCTGCCCTCTGAGAGCTCCTCACACCCCTGGGCATCGCCCCAACTCCCTCTTTTCCTGCTTTAAATGTCTCCTTAACCACCTGGGATCCCTTTATCCTGCTCCCTCCTTCCTCTGCCATCCGGAGCTCACCCCAGCGCCCACTGTGTGCCCTCCATGGGGACTCAACCACTTTGATGCCACCCTCAGCTCTCTGCAGAGGGTGCCAAGGGGAGTTTGTTTTTGGGGAGGGGCCTCCTTCATCACCAGCATTCCCCCTGGGATCCCTTTACCCCACTCCTGGGCAGTTCCCTCCTTCCTCTGCCATCCTGAGCTCACCCTGCACCCTCCAAGGTGGCTCAACCACTTCGATGCCACCCTCAGCCCTCTCCAGAGGATGACAAGGGGAGTTTAGTTTATTTTTGGGGAGGGGGCTGCAGTTGAAGCTGTCTCCCTCCCTCCTCCATGCCAATTGAATCCCCCTGGGATCCCTTTACCCCACTCCTGGGCAGTTCCCTCCTTCCTCTGCCATCCTGAGCTCACCAAGATGGCTCAACCACTTTGATGCCACCCTTAGCTCTCTGCAGAGGGTACCAAGGGGGGGTTTATTTTTGGGGAGGGGGCTGCAGTTGGAGCTGACACCTCCCTTCTCCATGCCTATCAGGTCCCTCTGGCATCCCTTTACCCCACTCCTGGGCAGTTCCTCCTTCCTGAGCTCATCCCAGTGCCCACCATGCGCCCTCCATAGGGCTTTGATGCCACCCTCAGCTCTCTGCAGAGGGTGCCAAGGGGGGTTTATTTTTGGGTTGGGGGCTGCAGTTGGAGCTTTCTCCCCCCCCTCCTCCCTGCAGAAGCCCTACGTGTGCAAGATTCCCGGCTGCACCAAGCGCTACACCGACCCCAGCTCCCTGCGCAAACACGTCAAGACCGTGCACGGCCCCGACGCCCACGTCACCAAAAAGCACCGGGGGGACGTGGGGCCGGGCCGGGCACTGCCCACCCCCGGTGCCCCCCCAGACATGAAGCAGGAGAAGGAGGCAAACGGCCCCAGCGAGGCTCGGAAGGACGATGGGAAACTCCTGGTGCCCGAGCTGGCCTTGGTGAGTGAGGAGCTGGAGGATGGAGGGAGTGTTTGGTGGTGGGGGACAGGAAAAACCAGCCCAAAGGTGTTCCTGGGGAGGCTTGGGATATCTAATATTAGGATATCTAATATTAGGGTATTAGATATTGGATAATAGGGAAAATTTCTTTGTTGTCAGGCACTGGAATGGGCTGCACTATGGAATCACCGTCCCTTTTCAGTGAAGTGTCCTAAAAACTCTGGGATGTGGCACTTGGGAACGTGATTTAGTGGTGAACACGGCAGTGTTGGGTTAATAGTTGGACTCAGTGATCTCAGAGCCTTTTCCAACCTTCTTGGTGATGCCAAGTGTGTCCAAGTGTGTCCTAACCCAGCATGGCAGCGTGTGGTGGTGTTTGCAGGGGTGCCAGGGTGAGGGAAGAGATGAGAATCTTGACTCCATGTTTCAGAAGGCTGATTTATTATTTTATGATATATATTGTAATAAAATAAAATTATCTATTAAAACTTACTAAAGAATAGAAGAAAGCATTTCATCAGAAGGCTTGAAAGGAATAGAAATGAATGATAATAAAATCTTGTGAATGATCAGACAGTCCGAGACAGCTGAGTGTGATTGGCCATTAATTAAAAACAACCACATGAGACCAATCACAGATGCACCTGTTGCATTCCACAGCAGCAGATAATTATTGTTTATATTTTGTTTCTGAGGCCCCTCAGCTTCTCAGGAGGAAAAATCCTAACGAAAAGAGTTTTCATAAAATGTGTCTGTGACATTAGTGTTGGGTTTAGCTGGATTCAGTGATCTCAGAGGCTTTTCCAACCTTCATGGTGATTCCAAGTGTGTCCTGGTGTCGGGATCTCCAGCTTATCAGAGTGACCCCGAGAAAAGTTTCAAAGTCTCTTTTCCCAGCCCAGCGCTTGAAGAAGGAGTCAGAGCTCTTCATTTCTCAGTCTCAAGGTTGTTTATTGTGTCTTATCTTAAAATTCTTTCTACTGCCCTGCTGAGGTCTGTCCAGCAGGACAGTTCCAAGCACTCTGCCTGCCCCAGGGGTTGTGTTGTGTCTTTATACTAAAAACTACATGTACAATATTTACAATTATTTCCCAATATCTATCACCTATGTTAGACAGTGAGTTTCTACTCTAAACCAATCCCAAAGCGCCAACATCACTGCAGAAAATGAATGCCAAGAATAAGAAGGAGAAAGACTGGACACACCCAGATCCCTCCATCTTGCTTCCTGAACCCCCATTCTAAATCCCCAAAATTCTACATTTTCACCCTGTGATTAATTCACTATCATTCTATTCAAACTCTTGTGGCCTGTAACTCCTCACACAAAATTTATAAATGTTTCCAGCCCTTGGGGTGGTGTTAGTTTTTTATACTAAAAACTACGTGTACAATATTTACAATAACTTCCCAATACCTATCACCTATATTAGACAGTTTGTCTCTATACCAATCCCAAAGTGCCACCATCACAGCAGGAGATGGAGGCCAAGAAGAAGAAGGAGAAAGGCAGGACACACCCAGTTCCTTCCATCTTGCCTCCTGAACCCCCATACCAAAAACCCCAAAATCTACTTTTCCACCCCGTGATAACTTCACTATGATTCTACCTAAACTGTTGTGGCTTGCTGATTTTCATATAAGGTTGGTAAATTGCTCCACGGGTCATAATCAAACCCACAGGTGTTCTGGGCTCTGTGCCAGGGTCTCTGAGACCCCTGGCAGGGGTCTTGGCCATCCTGGACAGCCATGAACAGGGATGTTCTGGTTTCCCACATCCTGGGTGTTTGACGCCCTTGCCGTGCTCTGGTTCTCCCCAGAAGCCCCAGCCCAGCCCAGGCGGGCAATCCTCGTGCAGCAGCGACCACTCACCCCTGGGCAGCACCACCAACAACGACAGCGGCGTGGAGATGGCCGGGAACGCCGGCGGCAGCTACGAGGACCTGTCCACGCTGGAGGACGTGGTGCCCGGGGAGCCCATGGGCACCTCGGGGCTCATGGCCCTGCACAAACTGGAGAACCTTCGCATCGACAAGCTGAAGCAGCTGAGGAAACCGGCGGCTTCCAAGGGGCTGAGCCTGCCCCCCATCCCTGGAGCCGGTGAGATTGGGGCGCCTCTCCCCCTGGGATGTGGGGCTGGCCCATGGGAGGGGTGTGAATCACCTGGGTGGCAGCCAGAGGTTGCCACACCTTGCTGGTGTTAGAATGTCTTGGTTTGGAAAGACAGGTGCCTGCTTAGGAAGGCAGGAGCCTCCCCTGAAATGGAGAATGTAAACCCTCCCCACCCCTCTGAATTGTTATGAATTTTAAATTAAGGGCTCTCAGGCAAAAATATGGGAGAAGGAAATAACAGTTCTTTAATAGGGAAGAAAATAAAAGGATAAAATAAACAATGCAGTACACTAGAACAACACTGACAGAGTCAGAACCCAACCTGACACCCTGTGGGTCAGGGTGTTGGCGGCAGTCCCATTGGAATTGTGGCTCAGCCCTCCTGCAGTGTCAGGGGTGGTTCTGCTGGAGCAGGGATCCTGTAGAGAAGGATTTATTCTTCCTCTGAAGATCCAGTGGAAGAAGAGGCAGCTGCTGCTCCTCTGGGAAATCCAGTGGAGAAGCTGTGCTGGTGTCTCAAAAACCTCTGGATTATATCTGGGTAGGAATGTTTGAAATCCCAGATCGTATCCAGGTAGGAATGTTTGAAATCTCTGATTCTATCCAGGTAGGAATGTTAAAGATAGTAATGAAAAACTCATGACTCCTTCCAGAGCCTCAACACAGCTCGGCCCTGGCTGGCTAATAAGTCAAAACAATTTACGTGAAACCACATAAATTTCATGGCTTATGAAATGAACCAATGAAATAACCATTGGTAATTGTTGGTTAACGATGCCCAAACACATCCCAAAGCAGCAAAACACAGGAGAAGCAAATCAGAAAATTATTGTTTCTCTTTTTCTCTGAGCCTTCTCAGCTCCCTGGAAGAAGAATCCTGGGCAAAGAGAATTTTTCAGAAAACATGACCGTGACAGAAAATTTTTCAGAAAACATGACCGTGACAGAGGATTTTTCAGAAAACATGAGTGTGACAGAGAATTTTTCAGAAAACATGACTGTGACACTTCTCTCCCGCAGGCCTGCCCGGGGAGGTGCCACCGCCGGCCTCCCACCGCCGCATCGCCGAGCTGTCGGCGGCCGAGCTGGGCCTGGCGGCGCCGGGCGAGCGCCGCAGCAGCGGCACCAGCACCGTCAGCTCGGCCTACACCGTCAGCCGCCGCTCCTCGCTGGTGTCCCCGTACCTGTGCCCGGGCGGTGACGCCGCGGCCATGCCCGTGCCCGCTGACGGTTACGGTGCCGCCTCTCCGGATGAGCCGCGGCGCTCCGGTGATGCCGGGGGGCTGCCGGGGGTGGGCGACCTCACCCCGGCGCAGCGTTACCGCCTCAAGGCCAAGTACGCGGCGGCCACGGGCGGCCCCCCGCCCACCCCGCTGCCCAGCGTGGAGCAGGTGGCACCGGGTGGGCACGTTGGCACGCACGGGGGTTACCCCGCGCACGCCGGGCCTCGCTGCATCACCAACGGCTTGGTGAGGAGGAACAGCTCCAATGAGAACCCCGGCTACCCAGGCAGCGTGCCCGCTCAGCTGGTGCCCCGACACGGCGTGCGACGGGCGAGCGACCCTGCCCGGACGGTGGCCAAGCCTCCGGCCGTGCCCAGGGTGCAGAGGTTTAAGAGTGTGGGCAATGTGAGCGTGCCAGGCGCGGGCAGGACGGTGCTGCAGCCCCTGGGTGGGTCCGAGGCCAACCTGCAGAGCCACGGCTTCTCCCCACGCCCCCCCAGCATCACTGAGAACGTCTTCATGGAGAGCATGGGGGGCCCTGGCCCCGAATCCGGCCTGCTGGACATGGAGCAGTACCTGGGTTATCCTGAGGAAAGCTTCCCGTGCCAGGGCACCAGCGTGGAGCTCCAGGGTGGCATCTACGGCGCTCACCGGACCATGGTGGGGACACATGGGGACATGGAGGAGGGGCTGCTGCAGCAGCCTGAGTTCTCCCTCCCGCCGTGCCAGATGAACCAGCGCTTCCCCAGTTTGCCTGCTGGGAATGGGGCTGTGCCAGAGCCCTGGGATGGACCCACCCAGGGCACGCTGGGCATGAGCTCCAGGCAAGGTGTGGGTGCTCCCACCATGTCTGGGCCACACTGTCCCCATCAAAACATCGAGTACCCCCACCCCGGCGCCTGTGGGCAGCATCCCAAACTGGTGAGCTCATGCCAGGACCAAGAATTTTCGGGGGGGCATCGTTTTAACCGGCTCCAGATCAAATCCGAACAGCGATACCCAGCACCGAGCCCGGCACTGGCTCCCTGCCCCAGCACCAAGCTGGCCGGGCCCTCAGCCTCCCCTGCTGCCTTTGGGCGCAGCATGGACGTGGGGCACGGTGGGTACCCCCCTGTGGGACCCACACAAGGTGGGTACATGGGCATGGCCAGCCCTGGTGCCCGCCGAGCCCAGACCCCCACCCTGCAGAGCAAAGAGGTGATGGTCCGGAACTACGTGGAGGCGCAGCAGGCGCTGATGTGGGGGGAGCAGCCGCCCCCCTGCAAGGGCAGCGTGGGGCTGGGCAGCGAGCCCGGGCAGTGCCAGGCCGTGCCAGCCCCGCCGCCTTACCTCAGCCCCAGGTACTGCAGCTACCAACCCAAAGGGGATCACCTGCAGAGCCTGGCGGAGCCCCAGCACCTCCTGAGCCCGCCCTGCTTCAACCCCGAGATGATCCCACACCCTCCAGCTGGCCCCAAACCCCCGGCTCACCAACCTGCCCTGAGCTACCCGAACAGCCTGGCACAGCCTGGGCATGCCTACGACGGGGTGGACGCCGGTGCCCGGCGCCTGCCACGCTTGCCCCCGGCCCGCCCCGTGCCCGAGGGAGCCGGGACCCTCCCCCTGTACTACCCAGGGCAGGGGGGCAAAGGAGGGCACAAGCTGCTGGGGCAGGGGGCAGCGAGCTGCGGGCACTACGGCCCCGAGGGGCTCAAGGGCACCTCCTGTTACTACCTGGACTCTGGGGAGCAGGTGGCCAACAGCCTGGACTCGCTGGACCTGGAGAACACGCACCTTGACTTTGCTGCCATCGTGGAGGACGTGGAGACCCCCCCGGCGCTGCCCGGACCCCCCAGCCCGGCCGGGGGGCTCCTGGTGCCCTCGCATGGGGGTGCCAACATGGCAGTGGGGGACATGAGCTCCATGCTGAGCACGCTGGCAGGGGAGAGCCACTTCCTCAACTCGCTGTCCTAACGGGGGGCACCTGCCCTCAGGTGGGGCCAGGGCTGGGGGTCCTCTCACAGCCACGTTTGTGCCTGGGGGGAAGCGGGGACCACCCCCCCTTGGAGTCACCCTGGTTCAGGAGGGGGCCAGGACACAGCCCCGACCCTCCAGGTGATCTCTGGAGTGGGGAACTGGTTTTACTGGGCCCTTACTGGGGTGAGCCCCCCCTCCTCACCCACGCAGCCTTAACGCCGAAACCAAAGAGCCCCCGCCCCATGGGCCGTCCCAGCGCTCCCAGTGCCCCCCGCCCCAAATCCCAGTCTGGCAGGACTGCAAGCGCCCCCAGCCCCGCTCCAGGGGTGTTACTCCCCAAAGGTGGGGCGGGGGGTGCCTGAACATAGTGTTCATACCTGTCTGTCTGTCTGTCCGTCCCCCTGAACCTCCTTTCTGTCAGAGCACCAGCAGTGCCACCCCCTCCCCTCATTAAACCCTTTCTCAGGGGACTGCGACTGTGTGTTTGTCACCTGTGCCAGGTGTTTGTCACCTCTGCCAGGGGCTCCCTGATCTCGTCCTTGGTCCCCTGTGACCAAAACCGCCCCCGCAGCAGCTTTGCCACCCTCGGGCAGGGATCCCGAGTTGGTGCTGCCGTGACCCAGATTGCAATTAAGCGCTTCAAATAATGCAAACGGCTTAAAATGATGCTGTTAATGATGCAAAAAAATGGGTTAAAATAATTCAATTTTCGTGCGAAAAAATTGGCTAACATGACGTGATTAATAGTGGGGAAAAAAGGGTTAAAGTAATGCCATTTTATATTGTTTTGTTTGTGTAATTAATGGTGCAAAGATTGCATGAAGTAATGCAATTAATTGTGCCAAAATTTCGTGAAATTATGCAATTTTGTATAATTTTCTATAACAGAATAATGCAAAAAAGTACCTAAAATAACGCAATTGACGATGCAAAAAAATACTTTAAATGCAATGATGCAGCACTTGCTTAAAATAAGGCAATTATGTGTGCAAGATTTGTTTAAAAACGCAGTTGTGCACAAATTGCTTAAAGTAATTCAATCAGCGGTGCAAAAAAATGCTGATAGTAATGAAACAGTGCAAAAATTTCCTTAAAATAACAAAACGAATAAGCAAATCTTTCATTAACGCAATTTTGCATAATTTCGTTGAACTCAATTAATCATGCAAAAAAAACCGCCGGAACGCAATTATAGAAATCAGGGTGTTTCCCCGCGCACCCAGAGCCTTGTCACGCTGTAATTAACCCGTAATTAACCCGTAATTAACGCGCAATTAACCCGCGGCAGCGATGGGGCCGCGCCGGTGGCGCCCCCTGGTGGTGCCGGTAGGGAATGAGCGCGGCCGTGCCCGGCCCGGTCCTGCGATGCTCCGGGAGCACCGGACGGAGATTCCGTGGGTCTGGAGCGGGTACCGGGTGTGTCCCTTGGTCCTCTGGAAATCACGGGGTCCTGGGAAGCAGCGGGACCCCCGCGGATTCAGAGTTCAGGGGTTGAGGCTCCTTCACCGAGGCGGTGACACCAGAGGGGACAACGCTTGGATGTCACCACCAATCCCGGTGTAACCGGTGCTTGTTGCAGTGACAGGAGGGAAGGTGAGACCCCCAGAGTGGCAGTCGTGACATGGAGAGGGGCCCTGGGGACGCAGATCCCCCCTCAGCCGGGCTCTGCTTCCTTTGTGTCCCACTTCCCATGGCAGTGACACGACAGGGGACAGCGCTTCAATGTCACCGGAGCCGCCAACTCCGGTGTAACTGGTGCTTGTTGCAGTGACAGGATGGGAGCTGACACCCTCAGAGTGGCAGTCGTGACATGGAGAGGGGCCCTGGGGACGCAGATTCCCGCTCAGCCGGGCACTGTGTCCCTTTCTGTCCCACTCCCCATGGCAGTGACACCACATGGGACAGCACTTGGATGTCACCGGAGCCGCCAACTCCGGTGTAACTGGTTCTTGTTGCAGTGACAGGATGGGAGCTGACACCCTCAGAGTGGCAGTCGTGACATGGAGAGGGGCCCTGGGATAGAACGGGACCCTGGGGATGCAGATCCTCACTCAGCCGGGCACTGCGTCCCTTTCTGTCCCCATGGCAGTGACACCACAGGGGACAGCGCTTGGATGTCACTGGAGCCACCAATCCCGGTGTAACCGGTGCTTGTTGCAGTGATGGGAGGGGTGGTGAGACCCCCAGAGTGGCACTCGTGTCATGGAGAGGGGGCCCTGGGGACCCAGATTTCCTTTCTGTCCCACTCCCCATGACAGTGACACCACAAGTACAGTGCTTGGATGTCACCGGACCGCCAGCCCCGGGGACAGCAGTGCCATCTGTGGTGACAGGAGGGAGAAGCCGGGACCTCCTCAGCCTCAGGGCAGCGTGGGGAACGCTCGATACTGAATACAGCTGGGGTGTGGTTGGGAGATCAATAAATAGACAATAAATAGCGATAAATAGCGGGGGGACAAGGCACAGGGACACACTGCAAGGCACAGGGACACACCACGGCCTTGTCCCGTGGTGCTGACAGCAGGAACAGCAATTGGGGCGCTCCCAGCCCCCCCTGCTCTGCTCCTGCCCCCTCAGGACGCAGCAGGGTCTGACAAACCCCGCCGTGGGCTCGGGGCCGTCGCAGCCGCTCCTCTGTCACTTCCCCGCTCGCTCCTTGTGCGACTCCGTCACCACTTGCTGCAGGAGGAGAGTTTGGGGGTCGGTCCCAAGGCAGGGTTGGGGCTCCCAGGCAGGGCACCCCCAATTCTCACCTGCCCATCGCGGGTCTCGATGGTTTTGATGAGCACCATCCTCCGGGCCGGGCTCTCGGCAGGCTGCGGCTCCAGCACTGGGCACAGAGCGGGCATCAGCACCCTGTGCCCTCCCAGATGGCACAGGGACCCCCAGGAAAGACCCCCAGACATCGTGGGGGACCCCCAGCTCGTGGCTCACCTGAGCTCCTCATGCTGAAGGAGGTGGTGGGGTGCGGTGGGATGGTGATCCTGGGGGGGAGAGGAGGATGAGGAGGGGCTGGGGCTCCTGGGCATTGCCAGGGACCCTTCCACACCCTCCAGTCTGTGACCCACACCCGGGATCAGTTGTGCCCGTGGGCTGCCAGGCTGTGCCAGTGGTTTGCCAGGCTGGGGGCTGTGCCCATGGTTTGCCACGCCAGGGGCTGTGCCCGTGGGCTGGGGGCTGTGCCCGTGGTTTGCCAGGCCGGGGGCTGTGCCCATGGGCTGGGGGCTGTGCCCGTGGTTTGCCAGGCCGGGGGCTGTGCCCATGGGCAGCCAGGCTGGCACCCAGAGCAGAGCCTGAGGCAGCTCCCCCACCATCCCCTGGCCTTGCTTTTATCTCAGCTCCCATGGGAACCTCTTGTTCTCCTGTGGGAACGAGGCCTGGAGCTGCTTCCTCCCGGTAAAATCCCACAACAACCGGGATGACTCAACACAGGGGACATCCCCCGGGGCAGTGGGGACAATCTGCTGCCCTCACCGGCTCTCCTCGCCCTCCAGCAGCTTTCTGTAGGTGGCAATCTCGATGTCCAGGGCCATCTTGACGTTCAGCAGGTCCTGGTACTCGCGCAGGTGCCGCGCCATCTCCTCCTTCATCTGCTGGATCTCCTGCTCCAGCCTCCCCACCACGTCCTGGTAGTTCCCGATCTCCTCGCCGAACTCATCCTCCATCTCCCGCATCTGCCGCTGCAGCGCCTCGTTCTGCAGGGACACCGAGGGCTGCAAAGGGCTCCAAGGGCGGGGCTCCGCTTTTCGCACGCCCCCCGAACGCTCCCCGGGCTCTCACCACGCCCTTCAGCCCGTCCACCTCGCAGGTCAGGCTCTGGATCTGCCGCCGGGACTCGTTCATCTCCTGCTTGGCCAAACGCAGCGCCTCGTGGTTGCGGTTCGCTGCATCCGAGAGATCGGCAAACTGCACGGGCAGGGCGAGTCAGGGCTCTGCAAGGGCTCAGCCGCTCCTAAATCCCTCCGCAGCCCCGGGTACCTTTGATTTGTACCATTCCTCGGCTTCCTGCAGGTTTTTGACGGCGATGCTCTCGTACTGGGTGCGGATCTCCCGCAGCGCCGCCGTCAGCTCCGGTTTGCACATCTCCACCTCGGGCAGCCCCGCCGGGCTCGGGCCGCTCACCTCCAGGTCCCGCAGCTCCTGCGGGGGCTCGGGGGCATCACAAGGACCTGATCTGTGTCCCCCTGCCCGCCCCATCGCGCCCCGGCCCCACCTCCTCGTGCAGCTTCTTGAGGAAGCCGATCTCGTCCATCAGCAGCTCCACCTTGCGCTCCAGCTCCAGGCGGGACAGCGTGGCGTGGTCCACGTCCTGCGGGAGAGGCGGGGATGGATGAGCTGCGGGGCAGCGTGGAGGGGGTGAGACCATCCCAGAGCCCCAGCCCGGGGTGGTGGTGGTGGGCACAGACTCAGCCTCCCAAACTCTGATTTTGCACAGGGCTGATCCAGCATCACCCCAAACTCCAGCTGGAGACACCCAGGAGCTGAGGAGGGACCAGGCTGGGGTTACCAGTGTGCTCAGCCCTGGGGGTCCCATCCTACCCCTCCCCACTGTGGGACTGAGGAGTGACATGGTGGGCACAGGCTCAGCCCCCCAAACCCTGGTTTTGCACAGGGCTGACCCGGCATCACCCCAAACTCCAGCTGGAGACACCCACAAGCTGTGGACGGACCAGGCTGGGGTTACCGGTGTGCTCAGCTCTGGGGGTCCCATTCTGCCCAAACCCACTGAGGGACTGAGCAATAACGAGATGGGCACAAGCTCAGCCCCCCAAACCCCAGTTGTGCCCTGGCTCACACGGGGGTGACCCAGCATCACCCAGGAGCTGAGGATGGAGGTGTGGAGGGACCAGATTGGGGTTACCAGTGTGCTCAGCCCTGGGGTACCACAAGTACAGAGGATGCTCAGCCCTGGGGGTCCCATCCTGGCCCCCCTGCACTGCTCGGTGCCATTCATGCACCAGCACCTCCCACGAGCCCAGAATTGGGATTATTCCCAG